TGTTCTCACTCATAAGTGGGAGTTGAACAATGAGAACACATGGACACAGGGAAGGGAAGATCATACACCAGGACCTGTCAGGGGGTGGGGGTCAAGGGGAGGGGAGAGCATTAGGACAAATACCTAATGCATGCAGGGCTTAAACCCTAGATAACAGGTTGATAGATGCAGCAAACCACATGGCACACATACACCTATGTAACAGATCTGCATATTCTACACATGTATCCCGGAACTTAGAGTAAAATTTTAAAAAATAATAATAATTTAAAGAGGGAAGCAGAATTTGTTTTTGAAATACAGAAAAGGAAGCTTAGCAGTCTAAGTACGTTAAAGAAGCCTTCACAGAGAAGGTAACACCTGAGCAGAGTAAGAAAGAGTAAGCGGGGGTTATTCAAGTAAGGAAAGAGGGGTAAGCACATTCTAGACAGAGAAAACAATATATATACAGACAGGGAGTAATAAAATAGCATTGTGTGTGGATGAGAATTGTGAGCAGTCCTTGACAATAGAATGTAAAATGAAAGATGGAAAGATCATAGGAGGGTGGGAAAGAGAGGAAATTTTGTATGTCATGTTGAAAAGTTTGGATCATATCTTACAAAGATATAAAATCAGTGGTAAGTTTTGAGTGATGGGGTTCAGGACACACTACCCCAGAATATGGGAGTATTTAGAAAACAACAGAAGAAGGAAGGTAACTCTCACCTTCCCCCAACTCTTCCCCCCTGAAGTGGGTCACAAAACCCTCATTTGACAGGTGCTGTATCTATACCCAGAGGAAATGAACATCTGTATATCTCTAAAAACACAAGGCCACTGACAGCAGTCTGAACAAACAGGCATAGCTGAGTTCTCCCCAGTTAACTGTCATTAGATTGTGTGTTTTTATCCAATCATCCTTCATCACTTTCCACTTCTCCATCAAACCTAGAATAAATACGCACAAATTTTACTGTTTCTCTATGTTTTCCTTTCCCTATGTAAAACTATATTAAATAAATGTGTTTGTGCTTTTCTTAAAAAAAATGAGGTTTGGTGCTTCTCCCTACCTGGTTTTTAATAACTTTTAAAGAAAGGTCATATGTGTTTGCAGGAGATGTTGTGGCATTTTCCATAGGGATTGAGACACCAGTTCTTCTCTCCGTGTTCCCACAAACTATTCCAAATGGCTTTAGTTTTCTACTCATATTTTCTGTAGCACAGTAAAATAGGTATGTTATCATTACTTTTTTAAATGTTTTTGTACCAGTGGTTTCTTCTGGGAACATCTGTTAGCTCTATGTGCCATATTTTGGGAAACCCCTCCTTCAAGAAGAGAATAAAGCCTTTTATTTTGAACAATGAAAAAATATATATTACCACAGATTTATATGAAAAATGAGATTATCACTAAAGTCAACACACACAACACCAATCTACATTCAATGCTGTCAGAAGCATTTGCTTCAAGAAAGTGCAGATTGTGAACTTAGAACTCGAATCTCCAAATCTGCTTCTTACTAGAGTCATTTACTGTAAATTTTATGAAAACTCTGGCTCACCTTTTTAAAGGATTACATTAGGTCAGAAACAATGAAATGTAGCTTAGAGAAGTGACTAATGGATAGCACATGCTCTATAAATGTGAGCTATTATTATTCCTGTTTTTTGTAAAGAACTCAATAAATAGAACTATTGTCATAACTATATACAGATCAAAATCATGTAGGTAGGCCCAGCATGGTTGCTCTCACCTGTTATCCCAGGACGTTTGGAGGCCAAGGAGGGAGGATCACTTGAGCCCAGGAGTTCAAGATCAGCCTGGGCAACATAGTGAAAACTCATCTCTTAAAAAACTTATGTAGGCAAATTAATAGAATGGCAACTTTTAACTTTCTGTGTACATGAGTTAATATCAGTACAGAAAAAGGAGCAGGGAGTTTTCAGAGTGACAGCATAATTAGACGCATTATTGTAGGGAAGACAGGCACCTTATAAAGTTCAAAGGCATGGGAACCTAGAGCTGCCCCTTCTATCTTTTTTTTAAGTAGAGTCCAAAGGTATGCAGCAATCAGAAATGATGAGTTCGTGTTGTTTGTAGGGACATGGATGAATCTGGAAAACATCATCCTCAGCAAACTGACACAAGAACAGAAAATGAAACACCGCATATTCTCACTCATAGGTGGGTGATGAAAAATGAGAACACATGGACACAGAAAGGGGAGTACTAAACACTGGGGTCTATTGGGGGGAAAAGGGGAGGGCCAGTGGGAGGGGGAGGTGGGGAGGGATAGCCTGGGGAGAAATGCCAAATGTGGGTGAAGGGGAGAAGAAAAGCAAAGCACACTGCCATGTGTGTACCTACGCAACTGTCTTGCATGCTCTGCTCATGTACCCCAAAACCTATAATCCAATAAAAAATTAAAAAAAAAAAAAAAAAGGAGATTCAATCCAGAAACAAAAGAACATGGAAAAGCCTATCCCCAAGTTATTCAGTCTTGCAGAGATTTCAGTTTCAGAGAATAGAAAGAGAACTTATATCCCAATTCATTTCATGAAGCTACTATAACCTTGATACCTAAGTCCCACAAAGACAATACAGATGGCCCCGACTTACGATGCTTCCACTTAAAATTTTTTGACTTTGTAATGGCAGATAAAAGAAATGCGTCCAGTGAAAACAGTACTTTGAGTAGCCATATAACCATTATGTTTTTCACTTCCAGGATGGTATTCAATAAATTACATGAAACAATCAAAGTTATGATAAAATGGACTTTGTGTTAGATGATTTTGCACAACTGTAGGCTAATGGAAGCATTCTGGGCACGTTTAAGGTAGGCTAAGCTAAGCTATGATATTTGCTAAGTTAGGTGTACTGAATGAATTTTCAATATATGATCAATTTATTTGGACCTAATTCTCTGATAACTTGAGCATCTCTACATAAAATAAAAATATAGGCTAATGTCACTTCTGAGAACACACATATGAATCCTAAACAAATTAGCAATACATAGATTATTCAAAAAGGATAGTGTGTCATGCCCCAATGTTTCCCCCTAGGAATGCAATGTTGGTTTAAACATAGCAACTTACCAATGTAATTCACAATGTTAACAGATTAAGAAAAGAAAAAGTCCTGTAATCATCTACATGGATGCATTACAAGTGCTTCATGAAAGTCAACATATGTTCAAGATAGTCCTAGCAAACAGAAAATAGAATGGAACTTCCTATTCTAATAAAATGTCATCTGAATACAGTTTATCTATTATTGATTATCTATTAATGTTAATATTATCTCCTTATTAGATATTATTTATACTATGCATTCTTTATTATTTATTATTTATTAGTATTTATTAGTCATTATTATTAATTATATATTTATCAGATATTATTTAGTAATATTCATTAGACATTCATTATTATATAATAATTATTAGATATTATTCTATTATTAGGTAATATTAATATCTGTTGATATTATTATTATCTATTTTTAAAAGCACAGAAAACATGGCAAAATGTTAAAAAAAATTTCCAATGCCTACTAGACATAAGAGAAGGATGGTCACAATTACTGGTTCTAATGAGCATTGTATTAGGTGGGTCCAGCCAATGTTGTAAAATAGGAAAAAGAAAAAAATATACTTTTTGAAATGTCAAAAAGAAAGCTGTTGTTATTCAAAGATGATATGATTGTTTATGTTAAAAATCAGAAAGGATCTAGAGGTAATCTGGAATAAGGATATTTAGCAAGGTTACTGCATAGAAAATCAATATACAAACATGATATCTGTTGGTTAAATGGAAGAAAAAGTGTTTTCTCTGCTCTTGCCCTAAAACAAATAACATAAAAGACTTCTGTGACCAAATATGCGGAGGCTTTTCTCCACAGACCAAGCAAGCAATCAGTTTTGCAGCATTCATCACCTGGGTACACTCTCATTCAACCCCAATAGTATCTACCTGGCGATAGCATCAGATTGCACAGGTTGAGGGCTCAGTCCCACAAGAGCACCCTGTCAATTGCCACAAGCCCTAGTTTGTTTTGCTGTGTTTCTGACTCACCAGCTATAAATCGAATTTCCCATGACTCCTACTCGGGTTCAATTAATTTGCTAAAACATCTTGTGACTCAGGGAAACATATACCTTTATGGGTTGATTAAAATAAGACATTAGAAAGGATGCAGATAAAGAGATGCATAGAGTAAGGAATGGGTCAAGGGACAGGGTGCTTCCATGCCCTCTATGGAAATGCTGTCCTCCATGTATGCAGCTATCCAGAAGCTCTCTGAACTCTGTCCTTTTGGCTTTTTGTGGAGGTTCCCATTATGAAAGTGTAATCGATTAAACCGCTGGCTGGCCATTGGCGATCAACCTAACCTTCAGCCCCTCTCCGTTCCCTGAAGGTTTGCGGGGAGCTGAAAGTCCAAGCCCTCTAATCCCCCATTCTAAAGTTACACAGGGGTTTCTAGGCATCAGTCAACTCATTAGCATACAAAAAGACATCACTTTGTGAAGACTCTAAAAATATTAAGTTGTATACCAGTATAGAGGCTTGAGGACCAAATATATATTTATATATTTCATAATATCACAAGTGTGTATACCAGTGTAATCAGAATACAAAATTTCAAAAATAATACTTTTCCTTTTTTTTTTTTTTTTTTGAAACAGAGTGTCCCTCTGTCACCCAGGCCGGAGTTGCAGTGGCCTGAACTACCTTCATCCTCAACCTCCTGAGTTCAAGGGATCCTCATACCTTAGCCTCAGGAGTAGCTGGGACAAAGGCTACATATATAGACGCATACATTCATTTACTTTTGCAGTGAGGGAGTCTCACTATGTTGCCCAAGCTGGTGTCAGTTTCCTGAGCTCAAGAATTCCTCCTGCCTCAGCATCCCAAAGTGCTGGGATTACAGGCTTGAGCCACCACACCTGGCCACCATTTTCAATAGTATCAAATATTTGGGAATAAAATGAACAAAAGATGTACAAGACTTCTTTGGAGAAAGCTGCAAAAGTTTATTTAGATATTTTTAAGTCAAATATCTTATATAAAAACGGTTTTTGTTGTTGCAGCTTGTCTTCGTTTAAGACTGTGGTTGCCTGTCATCTGTAACAGAAACGAAACAGGAGGGAACATTAGTAGCAGAACTGTATTCAGATGACATTAAAGGTATGCAAAGGAAACCGAAGTTTTGGTGTTATACCATGGACTAAAACTAGAAGCCTAAGAGTAACCCGATGGCTAACATTCAGTTAAATCTCTGTAGAGACTTTGAAGATAGATTTCCAAGCATATATATTAGCAACATTTTCAAAACACCTTTTCTGTAGTTCAAGGAAATCAAAAACTAACTTCAGAACACCATTAAATCAAGTGAACCTATTAAAATGTGGCTCCAAGTGAAAAGCAACCATTGTGTATAGTTTTAATAAAAATATAACCAGTTGGGCACCATGGCTCACGCCTGTAATCCCAGCACCTTGGAAGGCCGAGGCGGGCGGATCACGAGGTCAGAAGATGGAGGCCAACCTATCTCTACTAAAAATACAAAAAATTAGCTGGGTGTGGTGGCAGGCACCTGTAATCCCAGCTATTCGGGAGGCTGAGGCAGGACAATCGCTTGAACTCAGGAGGCAGAGACTGCAGTGAGCCGAGATCACACCACTGCACTCCAGCCTAGCAATAGAGCGAGACTCTGTCTCAAAAATAAAAATAAATAAATAAATAACCAACACACAACAAACCTAAGAAACAAAGGAATTTATAAAACATGTATAATGTAATGTTTTGGCTTGAAATAATAGTTGGGATGTTCAACAAGCTCCTGGGAAACAGTTAATGTCACATGAGGAGCTGTGCAAGTGCAGTGAACAGAAAGATCAGTGTTGCACTTTATTTTCTCTGTTGTGCAGAAGTGCAAAAATGATGCTTGGAGCTAGTTCACGCTTCTGTGGTCTTTAAGGTATGGTAACCATTTATCCAAGATTTTTACCTATCATCCTAATGTCAATATGAAGAGTCCCTCTTTTTACACTTGAAAGTATTCCCATTGGTAAAATAAATTACATGGTAACATTCAGTTTAATCTATCACTATTATTTTTGACATCAAAATGGGAAAGGGGCATATATCATGAATAGTGGTGCAAAAAAGAAATGGAGGGAAAGGAAAATACAAAAAGAGAGTAAGACATCTGGAAAAGCCAAGTATTTGTTTGTAAAAGTTAAGTGTTTTTGAGGGATAAGTGGTAAATTTCAGAAGTTCTTCCACAGTCTTTGTGATGTCTAGATATTCAAGTATTACTAGAATATATTAAATAATGTGTATGTTCCTAGCATATAAATCATTTCATTCATGTTTTGAAAATATTGGAGTTCAAGAATGTATTCACTTTCAATTATACCATATATTTAGTATCTGTTAGATTGTTCATATTTCATGTTGAGCTTTTTCCATTTTCTTTAAGAGTGTGTAAACTATTACTCTATTCATAGGTATTTTTCAAAAGAACAATCTTTTAAATTTCTTACTTTAGGATTACATTTCCTTTTATTGGTTATTCATACCTGTCTCTTATTAAGTACCTCTTTCCTTTTCCCTCAGATTTATTCTATTGCTCTTTATTATTTTCCTTTTTAATTATTTTCCTTTCTCATGTAACTTGCTATCTATTTTAACAAGATATTCATTTAATACTATAATCTTCCTAAAAATACAATTGAGGCTTGTTCAATGGGCTCCTGGAAATAGGTGAAAACTCTTTCAATGTAAGTAGTCTAATGGAAAGGTTCAGCAGTATACAGCAAAAACATTTAGGTAATTTCTTCTATAAACACGGAATGCTTCCTATAAATTCAGAAGCTCTTCTGATTAAAAGTCTCCAATTTGGAAACTACATGGAAAAGATACTTTCATCAAGCAAGTTCCCTGCTTATTTTCTTGGGAACCATGAATTCTCTTAACTCAGATGTTATAACTGGAGTGAAACTGATTCTTATGAAAAGCAAATCATATCTTTGCATTCTATCCAACAGAACATGAGGATACAGAAATCAACTTTGAAACAGATTTTGATATATCTGATTTGCATTTACTATTTTCAATAACAGCAAAAGATGGGTATAGAATTTATGGAATTCATCCAGAATCTCACAAATAACGTTACAGCTGGTACTAGAATCTGCTTAAGATGCTCAGGATACTTCACATAAACTGGTATTACAAATGCATTATGTATTTGTTAAAGGCAGAAATTAGAAAAGAATCTGAAGATTGTTAGTTGTTGGGTATAATCAGAAATAAGAATATGCTTTCATATTTGATTATTCAGTATGGCTTTGACCCATTTTGCATCTGTATCTGATAGTGTTTAAGTCTTGGCAGTCAGGCAATTGGGGTCTGAAGAACCTTTCAAAGAAAGTCTGCATTTGAACTCTGATTTTAAAGGGGCAGTAATGTTCTCTCTTTTTATTATCTAAAATATAATATTGTGGAATACAGAAAGCACATAATTTTGCATCTTAATGGATAACGTACCTCCTTCTAGCATTTTAAATTCCTCTGATTTTGGCAGAATCTTCCCCTGGACATCAGGACCATCTCCGCATTCACCCCCAGTCTTTGACTGAGACAGTTTCTGGAGATCAGCTTCCAGGTCACGCACTAAAAATTACAAAGGTTCTTTATTGGAGCAGGCAAACAAGAAAGACAAATAAGGAAATGATACTATTATTTTCCTCAGTGTTATGAAATAAAATCCTATAGACTACTGTGCTAATAAATGTGATGTAAAGATGTCACAACTTTGTTTTCCACTATTATGAAATCTTATCTTAAATGACAATCTGAGGAAAAATCATACCACACTATCATTTCCTATACTTTACCACTGTGTATTTTAAACAGTGAGTATCAGCTATCTAGGAAATCTGAGGACTGCCCAATGGCTGGCATTTTAATCATAACGTAAATGTAATTTTCTGAAAGATTAGATGAATATATTGGTGAACCCATGACAAATCTTACAATCCTGACACTCATCGCCTTTTGATGTAACTTGAAAATTTTTGGTTAAAATTAAACTTAGGTCCAAAGGCCCTAAATGTAACTTTCCATAAATGAATCCCATTCAGAAAAAAGTACCAAATATAACAGTGAAATCACTGTCTTCCACAAGAGTACAGGAATTTGAGTGAAAAAACATTAATGGGCATTGTTGACAGCCATATTCTGGAAAACCCTTAACAGTGAATTGCTAAAATAATCCATGACCCAAATTCTGTCAATCTTTAACTTCAAAATGCTATCCATTGAGGAAATTTCTGTGTCATGATAGTCTTATCGTACTTTGAGTTTTCTAATTATAAAAGTATTTAAACAACTCTTAAAAACTCCCTTAAAATCATACTAATATAGCTACCTGTATGCCAATGTCCTGAATTATCCAGCTTTTACCAAACATACTGTCAAAAATACACATCAAGGGAAACAATGGCTGTCACTTACTGAGCTCTTTTCTGGAGTTGCTATCCTGTTTCACTGAACTGTGTTTTCCTGAGCCAATACAGAAGTACCTCGCAGTACAGACACTTTGGAGTATTAACATTTCAAGCAAAATCATTCACGTTCTCTAACAACATAGATGGTATGAAGAACACAAACCTTGGAATGAAATATGAATTCCTTCTCCATGAGTCAAGTGTTCTTGGTAAACCCCAATTTCAGAGACTCAGTTTTCTTATTTATAAAAAAACAGGGTTAACATCCTTATGCAAATGGGCTTTATTCACAGTACTATAAGGTGGGGTGACTTGGCTTTCTACATACTATTAAAGGGTGCTTACAATACTGTGGACACCATGGCTGAGAAGATCAGACAACAACATTCTAAGACGATCAAATTAAACTAGTGAGATAATGTACATTTTTGTACATTGAATCAAACAGTTTCATCTGATTTAGCAAGAACTGTATTTTCAAGCATGCAAAATATATTTCAAAGGTAATAGAAGATTCATTATATCCAGGGACTCCAGGAAGCTGCAAACTATAATCTTCACTTTTCCAGCCAACTCTCAGCCAAAGTTTGAGATCCTTTCCTAACGTTTTCTTTCCTCCTGTTACTGGTCATGGCATAAGGCATGATGCACCCATAGGCCTCCTCCCTGCATACACATTCTTTATTTCCCTTCCCAGCACCTTGAATCTCAGCTGCACCCTGATCTTCTCTCTCCTGACCAGGTGTAGGATTCCGACTTTCAGCCGGTGGTTCCTCTTGCTGAGGCTCCTCATTATTAGGCTCCTGGAACCAGAGGTGTGTGTGTGCAGATAAAAAGTTTTGTTACCAATACATTTCAATAATATAAATAGACAGAATACATTGATATTTCTGATCATAAGTCTAAAGACATTTCTCCAACTCTATTCCACATACTTATGCTTCATAAAGTTACTCTTTCCACAGAGAGGTTACTCTAAGACAGTTGCCCTCTTAGAAGGGCTTTGGAAGCTGTTTTAATCTATGTTGGGATGAACGTGTGTAATCTTTTGCAAATAAGCATGAGAAGGAAATCATGGGCAAAATCTGGGGAACACAAGATCATCCATCTACAGAACAGAACTTAATCCTCTTGGATTAGTCTTTCTTTCATGAGATTGCATGATCATTTTATCAGCATGGGAGACCTTTATTGGTGTATCTATACTGGTCCAGCAACAATTACAAAACTAAGTTTTGTAACAGCAATAAGTTACAAAAATGACTTTCTGCTAATAGAAAACATCAAAGGTTAAGGCACTCACCAGCATAGGCCCAATCAGCTCAGGAGGTGGTATAGTTCTACTTGGTCTCGGCCTGTATGTTGATCTTCCTCTCCAAATCATATTTCACACTGCCAACAGAATACTGTGAATTGGTAAATGCACTTGAAACGACAGCTGTATTTGACCACTTCCATGACCAAATGTTAACTCGCCATTTTTTAAAAGTTTGTAAATACTTTCAAAGTAAGTCACAGGGCAAGTGTAAGTGTGTGTGCCTTCTGAATGCTTGCAAAGCCACTTAAGTTGGTCAAGCTAGCTGAGCAATGTCTTAAGGCTCCTGGCAAAAGACAAAGGATATTTCTGATGAGCTTTGGTTTCACAACTGAACTGTCCTCCATAGAGACATTTGGGAAAATACAGCCAGAGAATTAAAACTGCAGTGGCCACGGCTTTTGTCACACACACGTTTGTTAGGCCCATTTCTCCCATAAAATCAAGCTTTTGTTGGAACGCAGAGCTCCACCCATTCAAACCTCCACGGTGGACTTGAGAAGTTGCCACACAGCACTGGACCGTCCTCACTGGACACCTCTGCTGGGCACTCTACAGACATCAGGCCCACGGTCACCAACCCGCAGCATTCCCAGTTCCCTTCCTTAATGCCCACCCCGCTCCTTCCTGGTTTCCACGAAAGAGTCTGGAATCTGTCCTCTGCCGAGGGTTCCAGGGACTCAGATACCTTCCCCAGTACCCCCAGAACTCACCCCATCTTCACCTGACCCCTCTCAACTACGTGGCCCACCTTCTTCCCTCCTTTTGACCCCCGCACAACAAGGCCCATGGCAGTGCCACCTCACGAAGAGGTCGATCACCTCGAGATCCTATGGCCTCCGAGGCCACGGACCATGCTGCCCCACACTCCGGACAGCCACTGGCTCCTCCTCACACTCACTCACACTTCAACCAACCCCTGCGAGGAGGACTGGCCTGCCGACCTACCAGTTACGTCTCTGTAGGACAGGAAAATGTCCAGACAGCAGGAACGCGATCCTCACACCCTCACAGCTCCGCGGTGTTTATCACATGCACAAAGGGGTGGACGGGAAGACTTCCAGTGAACATGCGCAATGAGGTTGGTGCCTGCCTTGTGGGCTGCGGCACCTCTCCTCGCCCCACCCTATCCCGCGCTGTGCAGGTTCCCACTGAAGACGTCGGAATGTGCAGTCTGTGAGTGGTTTCATATGCCTCCGGGACTCAAATACCACAAATAGTTTCCCCCTTCAAAACTCACTCCATGGTCCCTAGGTCCTCCTCCCCCCTATGGCCCTCCTTCCTTCCCTGCCTGGGACCCCCATGACAGCAAGGCCATGGCTGTGTCGCCGCCTGTTAGGAGAAGGACAGGGAGCTCAGGGTCCTTTCCCCTAGGAGGCCATGGACCGTGCCCGCGTGCTCCTCCTCACACTCACTCTTCACCTCTGGGAAAACTGATCTGCGGACCTACTGGCTGACTCCTAGTCAGCAACACAGAAGGAAGTCATGATGTCTCCTTGCACAGCTCTGCAGGAAAAGAAGGCAGACAGCAAGGCATATGGGCAACAAGGCACTTGGGCAGCAAGGGGCATGCACACTGAGTCAGGTACATGCAAGACCAGCTAGGGTTTTCCCTCTCTCCCTAGACTCGCATCCCTAAGGTGTTTATAATAGAAAGAAAGGGACTAAGAGGCTTTGTTCTCTCTTTTGCCCTAACATTCTTATGCATCCAGAAACACTGGGAACAGAGAGTCCCATGTTACCATTAGTGAAGGATGTGTCTCAGAAAGACCTTTTGTGACAAAAATAATTATTTTAATATGTATATTTATACATGCTTTTTTCTCATTTATATATGCATGGGTGCCTGCTATGCTGCAGAAAATATCTGGGATGCCGATCACACGTGGTATGTCCCATGGAGGCTACCGCAGTGTGGTGGGGCAGACAGAGAGTTAAACAGAAGAGCAGTTGAACTGCAAAGGAGAAACACAGGTAACAGACCCAGTGTAGTAAAGAACAATGAATGTAGTGGTCAAGAAGCAGTGGGGAAACAACACAGTTTCTCAAAAAGACAAGATTTCTCCACTGCCTTTGCACCTTTTTTGAAAATGACTATATCATGTCTGTGAATCTATTGCTGGACTCCATTCTGATCTGCTGATTTTTCCCCAGTACCACATTCTCTGGATTACTAGAATCAACATGACTCTTGACATAAAGTAGTGTGAGTTCCCCAGTTATAGTTCAGAATCGTTTTGGTTGTTCTGGTTCGTTTTCCTTCCTATATAATTTTGAAAAATGACTCCAATGAAGTGGATTGTATAAGTTCATGCAGTTTTGCTGTGAAAGGCAGCAAGTAAATGTGTTAGTAGTTACAGGAGGATATGGGGGAAGAAAGTGAGTTCTCCCTTAGCTTGGGGAATGATCCCATTTAGAGGCAGCAGGTGGTGGTTCAGGAGAGAAGAGTGGGCTGGGCACGGTGGCTCAAGCCTGTAATCCCAGCACTTTGGGAGTCTGAGGCGGGTGGATCACGAGGTCAAACGATCGAGACCATCCTGGCCAACATGGTGAAACCCTGTCTCTACTAAAAAATACAAAAATTAGCTGGGCGTGGTAGCACCCGCCTGTAGTCCCAGCTATTCGGGAGGCTGAGGCAGGAGAATTGCTTGAACCTGGGAGGCGGAGGTTGCAGTGAGCTGAAATTGTCCCACTATGCTCCAGCCTGGCGCCTGGCAACAGAGTGAGACTCTGTCTCAAAAAAGAAAAAAGAAAAAAAAAACGAAGGAGAGAGGAGTGATCACTGCAGGAGCAAAGCCCCTGAGAAAGTGTGAGGCATGGGATCCTGAGCTGAGGCTAGCTTCAGTCAAGAGCATTGTATGCAGAAGGTTGGTGGAAAATGAATGCCAGGGCAAGCATGGGTAGGCTGGGTTTGGGAAGCTGTAAGAGTTCTCAGCAGATTGCTTCTCTCCTCTGAATGAATCATTATGGGAGGTCATTCAAATGGAGGAGAGTTTCTAGCATTGTGGGCATGTTTATATAACTATAGACAAATACATCCATCATCATGAACAGAATATTTCTAGAAATATGAACGTTGAAGCTCTTATGGTGAGCTCTCAGACAGGAATGGGGAACACGTTTTTGGAAACACGTGGACACACAATCCTTGTAAGAAAGTAGCAGAGAATTTGGCTAGATTGCATTCTGATAGATACGGATTAAAACTTATAAGTGATGAAATTGCCTATGTAGCTAAGAATATTTCAAAGTATTAAAGTTGTGGCCTGGTTTCTCCTTACTGCTGTTTGCAAAATGCAAGGGAGGAGAAATAAATCAACAACAGAACTGCTGAGCAAAAAGGAATCAGCCCTTGATTATTTAGAAGATTCTCAGCCTATCCAAATAGCAAGCTCTGGAAGTAGGGCCAAGGGTGTAATAGGACAACTGATTGCTAAAGAGATGAGGGATGTGAGTCATGGATCTAATCAGCCATCTCAGCAGAATGCAGGGATGGAGATGCAGTTATCCAGGAAAGATCTATGGAGGACTGAAGGTCTGTTGGCATGGACGCCACGAATTGCATCAGAGGCCAACATGTTTTTGAGGATTTTAAACCAATAGAAACACAGCCAGCCTGGAATGAAAGGGACAAAAATGGGACAAAATAAAGGAAGAGTGACTTTGAGGGGAAAGCTACAGATGCAGAGGCTGGCAAGCTGCCACTGCCTCTGTAGGTCCAGGCAGCAACGACCTGGGGAACAGGAATCCAGACACTTCCTCCTTAGCTCCAGATGACAGAGCCACCTCCTCAATTTCAGGGACCAGGGCTTTTGCCCAGGGGCAAGGGAGCAGGGCTAACCCTCAGGGCCAAGAGGGCAGAGCTGCCACCCTATTTGGCCCAGAGGACACAGCATCAAGCCAAAGAGGACCATTCTGAAGCCTTAAAATCTCATGGAACTTGCCCTGCTAGGTTTCAGACTTGCTTGGGCCCCATGACTTCTTTTCTCCTTCCATCTTCTCCATTTTGGAATGGGAATGTTTCTACTATGCCTGCACCTTCATGCTGTTTTGGAAGCAGATAATGTCTTACCTGGTTTCACAAGTTCACAGAGGGAAATAATTTTGCCCAGGATACAATATACTGAGTCTCACCCTTTCTTGATTTTGATGACGCTTGAATGAGATTTGGGATTTAGAGTTAATGCTGGAAAGAATTAAGAGTTTTGAGGGTGTTGAGATGAAGTGAATGTATTTTGGATGTGAGAGGACATGAATTTTGAGGTGCCAGATGGTGGGCTTTTACATGTTAAATCATGTCCCCTTCAGAAATTTATGAAAGCATAAATCATAGAAATTGCATGTAGTGTTCCAGATCACCACAATAAAGCAAGTCACACACATTTTTTGGTTTTCTAGTGCACATAAAAGTGATGTTTATAGTATGTTCTCACTCCTAAGTGAGAACTAAGCTATGTGGATGCAAAGGCATAAGAATGCTACAATGGACTTTGAGGACTCTGGAAAGTATGGGAGTAGGGTAAAGGATAAAAGACTACAAATTGGATACACTGTATACTGCTTGGGTGATGGATGCACCAAAATCTCATAAATCACCACTAAAGAACTTGCTCATGTAATCCAATACCACCTGCATCCCAAAAACCTATTGAAATAGAAAGTTATAAAATAAAAGTGTTGTTTACACTACACTAAAGTCTGTTAACTGTGCAATAGTATTATGTCAAAAAAATCTACATACCTTATTGGAAAATACTGTATTGCTAAAACATGCTAAAGATCATCTGAGCCTTCAGCGAGTTGTAACTTTTGTGCTGGTAGAGGGTCTTGCCTGGATGTACATGGCTGCTGACTGATCAGGGTGCTGATTGCTGAAAGTTGGGTGACTGTGGTAATTTATTTTCTTTTTAACAAACCAAAACTACACAGAGGGCTGTGGCAATTTCTTAAAATAAGACAACAATGAAATTTGCTCCATTGATGAACTCTTCCTTTCATGAAATATTTCTCTGTAGCAGACAATGCTCCTTGATAGCATTTTACCCACAGTAGAACTCCTTTATAAATTGCAGTCAAATCTCTCAAATCCTGCCATTACCTAATCAACTCATCCTTTGCTGTCATTTCCATAATGTTCACAGCATCTTCACTGGGAAGGGATTTCATCTCAAGAAACTACTTTCTTCATTCATCCATAAGAAGCAACTCCTCACCAGTTAAAGTTTTTTCATGAGATGGCAGCAGTTGAGTCACCTCTTCATGTTCCACCCTTGTTCTCTTCCTAGTTCCACCATGTTGGCCGATACTTCATCCACTGGAGCCGTGAACCCCTCAAAATCATCCATAAGGGAATATACAGTCTGCTGTCATTATGTGGAGCATTCTCCACGTGTCACTTAGATCCAGTTAGTCCATGGTGCCATTCAGTTCATCTATATGTTGCTGATTTTTTTCCATTGGTTCTGTCTGATTTGATTATGTATTTTAAAGCTTTGTAGTTGAATTCTGTGCAAAAAAAAAAAAAAAAGAGGTAATTTAGCAGGTCTGAAACTACTATCCTTAGAAAGGCAAGCTTAAAAGACTGACCCTTGCCTGGCATCTGTGAACTTGATTTCAGGAGGTTTTCCACCATTCTCCATCTGATAAGAGTAATTTACTCTTCTGAAACTGTTTGTTTAAGCAACGTGTTTTATGCTGAACACCAGCTTCCCTTCTGGGAATCTGAAATGTTGTAGCCTGTTAGGCAGAGAGTGCCTATGTGACCAACCAGTCCCCAGTAAAAACCTAGGGCACTGAGTTTCTTTTTTTTTTTTTTTTTTTTTTTTTAGGGAAAAAGAGAAGAAGAAGGGGAAAAAAAAGAAAAAGAGGGAAAAAGGAATATTACTTCATTCCTAAAATGGGTTTCAATAATGGCTGATCAATATTTTGAGTGTTTAAAGTGGTTAATGCATATTTTATGTGTTTAAAATGGAGACCTCTATTGTGTTTATTTGTTCTGGCTCTGAGTTCAAGTCCTGGATATCATTATCA